CTACTGGGGATGTGCCCGCAACCAAGGTACATGCCCTTGACTGGAATCGAACCTGGGACCTTTCAGTCCGCAGGCTGACTCTCTCCACTGAGCCAAACCGGTTAGGGCAAAGCATGAATTTCTTATGTCTATGAAGGGTTCCTCAAAATTGGCACTTGACATTTGGGGCAGGAGAGTATGGATAATAATACAATAATTAATAATAATAATATAAGAATAAACTGTGTTTCACATACTCACAACTGTAAGCCTACTTTTGCCACACCTTGTATAACTTCTTAATATTCTTGGTAGTAGTGATCAAGGCTGAGGGCGACATTAGAGGTGATACCAGTGCATTTTTTTCTTTCTTCACTGTTCTATGTCACAGCACCCCCCAGGGTACCATTCTTGGGCCCCCCAGGAGTTCCTCACTCCCCGTCTTTGGGCCAAGTCTGTCTTCAGAATGGGAGTTGTCTCTTTCTAACTTAGCTGGAAACAGGAATGAAAGCTTCATTCTTCTTGGCTTTCTCCCACCTCCATCTCCCCCTTAGGGTTAATCTGAAAGGGAGGATTATGGCTGTGGAGCAAAATGGCAGTTCCTTTAGTGGCAATTCCTTTATGTTTATAGTTGGGTTGCTAAGATCCCGCCCTCCACAGTGTGCTGAGTTTCTGCTGAATAAAAGGTCCTCCCTCAAAAGCATAAACATTGTGTTCCCATTGCTCCCACCTGTACGTGTGGGTGGGTCAGCAATGGCGTTTCCAATTCCTTGCAGGCCTGGTTGGTCCTCCTTCACTTATAAGAGACGTGATTTTGGCCAAAGAAGACCTTAGGCTCCGTCCCCAGCTCTCCTTCCTCATCCTGGTGTTTGATTTCCTGAGTTTTATCTTGCAAGCCCCATGAGAAAACCTCGAAGAGAGAGAGACAACTCTAAACTATGTTCAGCCTTTATATAAACTATGCTCAGTCTATTTATACTGGCGTGTAAATAAAGATTCTAATTGGTACAATCCGTTTGGAAAACTGTTGGGGGCATTACCCAGTGAAGTTGAGGCTCGGCCTGCCCATGACCCAGCAATTCTGTTGCCGGGTTTGTGCCCTGTAAAAATGCACACACATGTGCGCGAGGAGATATGTGTAATGATGTTCGAGCAGTATGGTTTCCGGTAGCTCCAAGCTGGAAAGGGCACAGATGTTTCGCAGCACTTGAAAAGATAAATAGTGCTAAACACACACAGTGGACTACTAGACAGCAGTGGGAATGACCCAGCGACAGCTACATAGAACAACACGGAAGAACCTTAAAAACACGATGTTGAGTAGAAGAAGCCAGATGTAATAAAAACATGCTCCCGATCCATTTTCAGAAAGTTAGAAGACAGGCAGCATTAAGCTCTAAGGCAGCGGTTCTCAACCTTCCTAATGCCGCAACCCTTTCATACAGTTCCTCATGTTGTGGTGACCCCCAACCATAAGATTATTTTCGTGGCTACTTCATCACTGTCATGTTGCTACTGTTATGAATCGTCATGTAAATATCTGATATGCAGGATGGATTTTCATTGTTACAAATTGAACATCGTGAAAGCATAGTGATTCATCACAAAAACAATATGTAATTATAGATGTGTTTTCCGATGGTCTTAGGCGGCCCCTGTGAAAGGGTCGTTCGACCCCCAAAGGGGTCACGACCCACAGGTTGAGAACCGCTGGTCTAAGATTTATGGATGCAGAACTTCCTAAAAGCGGTGCTTCTCAGAGGCTCCTGCCCCTGCCCCCAGGGGACATTTTGGGTTGCCCCAGCTGGGGGAGGGGGTAAAACAGCTCGCAGGTGGGTGCCAGGGGCGTGCTGAACATCCTAGGATGCTAGGACAGCAAAGAATTATTGGTTTGATCCCAAAACTTCAAGCCGTAAAAGCAAAAATAAACAAGTGGGACACATAAAACTAATAACTTTTCTGCACAGCAAAAGCCACAATCAACAAAATGCAAAGGCAATCTACAGAATTGGAAAAATATTTGCAAACTATATATGTAATAAGGGGTTAATATACAAAAAAACATAAAGAACTCATATAACTCAATAGCAAATAGAAAACATTGTCTAAGAAATTTTGTTGTTGTTAATCTTCCCAAGGTTATTTTTCCATTGACTTTCAGAGAGAGTGGAAAAGAGAGGGAGAGACAGAGAGAAACATCGATGTGAGAGACACACATTGATGGGTTGCCTCCTGCACGGTCCCCAACCAGGGCCGGGGCTGGGGAGGAGCCTGCAACCAAGGGACCCTTTGATCCATAGGCCAACGCTCTGTCCACTGAGCCAAACCGACTAGAGCAAATTGTTAAAGATTTAACAGACCTTGCCCTAACCGGTTTGGCTCAGTGGATAGAGCATCAGCCTGCGGACTCAAGGGTCCCAAGTTTGATTCTGGTCAAGGGTATGTACCTTGGTTGCAGGCACATACCCAGTAGGGAGTGTGCTGGAGGCAGCTGATCGATGTTTCTCTCTCATCGATGTTTCTAACTCTCTATCCCTCTCCCCTCCTCTCTGTAAAAGTCAATAAAATATATTAAAAATTTTTTAACAGACCTCTTAGAGTTCTGCACAACCTAGGTCCCTTCTCGAGTCTTGAACAAATGCACTGAGAACTGCAGAGGCGTATGAGCCACGGTGAGGTGAATTTAAGAGCTTTGCAGCATGCACTGATCATTTCTTAAATGTGTTGTCCTATCTCCCCAAACCTTTTAAACACGGAAAAAAACAGCTCTGTGGCACCTGAAAATGTAACTCCAACTTAGCAATGACAATTTAGCAGGAAAGACACTAGCAGGCAGCGTCATTTCTAACATGTGAATAAAGCAGGTCCCCGGGTAATGTTGTTTTGTACAATGTCGTTTCGTCTTGTTCTAACGTTGATGAGAAAAACAATGGGTTCCCGCTGGGACCATGTCTGCGTGCAGTGTGCAGTCTCCCCATCTGTGTGCGTTTTCCCCGGGGACCCCGGTTTCTTCCCACATCCCAGAGATGAGCCTGTGAGGTGAGCGGTCTTGTCTACACTGACCCAGTCTCTGCGGGTGTAGGTGAGGGTGTGAGTGGCCCTGGGATGGAAGGGTGTCCTGTCCAGGGTGGGTCCCACCTGGCACCTGAGCTGCGGGGTGAGGTTCCGGCCATCTCAACCTTGAACTGGAATCTGTAGGTGGGAAAATCATTCTTTTACTTGTTTTTATTATTAAAGATAGATAGATAGATAGATTTCAGAGAAGAAGGGAGAGGGAGAGAGAGATAGAAACATCAATGATGGGAGAGAATCATGGATCGGCTGCCTCCTGCACGCCCCACACTGGGAATGGAGCCCAAAACCCAGGCCTGTGCCCTGACTGGGAATCGAACCCTGACCTCCTGGTTCATAGGTCGACACTCAACCATTAAGCCACGCCGGGTGGCTCTGCACCCAGTCCTTTAGATTGTTGCCATTTCTTGTGATCCTGCCTGAAGATATCATGAACATTCCTGCACACGGAAGGCCATTGGCCCATTTTTTCTACCTTATCTCGGAGTGAAATTGTTGGGTCAGAGGGTAGGCACCATATGATCAGGCGGTGCTGGGAACTTCAGGATATAAGCTTCATTTTTTAGCAGATGAACCATCATGAGATTGCCTAGTGCAGTGGTCGGCAAACTGGGGCTCGCGAGCCACATGCAGCTCTTTGGCCCCTTGAGTGTGGCTCTTCCTAAGCCTTAGGAGCACCCTAATTAAGTTCATCACAATGTATCTACCTATATAGTTTCAGTTTAAAAAATGTGGCTCTCAAAAGAAATTTCAATCATTGTACTGTTGGTATTTGGCTCTGTTGACTCATGAGTTTGCAGACCACTGGTAGACTCAGCTTGTAGGAGGGAGCGCAGACATCACAGTGCCCTGGGCCGGGGGAAAGAGCCGGTCCTCTCCTCCAAGGGGGTGGAAAGCCCACGCCCAGCTGGTGTGGCTCAGTGGCTCAGTATCGACCTATGAACAGGAGGTGACAGTTGGATTCCCTGTCAGGGCACCTGCTGGGATTACAGGCTCCATCCCCAGTGTGGGGGGTCCAAGAGGCAGCCAATCCATGGTTCTCTCTCATCATTGATGCTTCTCTCTCTCTCCCTCTCCCTTCCTCTCCGAAATACATAAAAATCGATTAAAAGAAAGTGCAAGCTTCCAGGACGGCCTGCAGAGCAGGGGCCAGTGTTAGGCGGTGCTGGGAGCCTCAGGCTGTGCTGACACTGATTTGGCGGACCCAGCAGCATTTGCGATGCCTCTGTTTCTTCTGTGTCCAAATCCGTGCTGCGTCCTTTTCTGAGCCGCTCCTAAGAACTAAGACCCAGAAAGCAGCGCTGGGAGGACACCACCCCTTGGATCCAGCCTGGCACCAATGCCAGGACTCCCTTTCCAGTGCCTTCCCCAGACCTGCCCAGGTCCTGCCAGTCTTCGGGGACCCACTTTGCCCAAAGCGTGTGGCCGCAGCCGCCCTCCAGCCAGGCCTCCCTCCCGGGATCAGTCCCCCGGGCAGCGTTCCTGGCTCCTTTCCTGCTGCCCCCTCCTTGGGTCCCGGTGGCCTTGACTTTCCCAAAGGAGGGCTTTCCAAAGGCGAAACCCCGCCCTCCCTGGGGCACGTTCCCAAGTTCCTGCAAGTCTTTCTGGGCCACCCTGTGGCCCTCTGGCTGGGGTTTCGGCTCCGGCGGGGGGTGGGGTGGCAGGAGGCAGGAGTGCCCGCTGCCCCGACACCTGTCGCGGGCGCGCTCGGTCGCTGTCGCCTTCAACAGCTGGTGGCAGCAGCCGCGACAGGGGCCCGCCCGGGCACGGAAGGACGGAACGCCCGCCCCTCGACACTGACTGGGCTGCTCCCTCCTCCCCCCCATTACCCGCCCCGTCCTCCCCCTCCCTCCTCCCCTCCTCCAACTCCTCCTCCTCCTCCAACTTCTCCTCCCTCTCCTCCTCCTCCTCCCTCCGCTCCTCCTCCTCCTGCCCATTCGCCGCGGCGCCTCCCTGGCCCCAGCTCGGGCGGTGGGACGCGGGCGCCCTGGGCACTTGGCATTGCGCTCGCTCGGGGGCCGGGAGCAGCGCTCGCGACCGGGGTCCGCCCGGGATGGCGGTGAAATAAGGGGACCTCGGAGCGGCGTCGTGATCCCAGGCTGTGCCGGGGACCCCGGATCTTCCCCGTCAGCGACATGGGGGACCCGGCGGCCCGCGAGAAACCGCAGCTGCACTACGCGGTGAGTGTCCCGGAGCGGACGGGCGACAGGGGGCGCCACTGGACCGGCCTGGGAGGGGACAGCTGGTCTTGGGGGGATCCGTGACTCCCCAGAGGTCCTGGGGGGTACGGTGAGCGGAGGGGAGGGGGCTGCGTGTGTCCTGCCCCCCAGGGTCCACTGCCCCTTAGAAGGGGAGCCCCCACCCTGGAGCCCGTGGTGTGGGAGTTGAACCTGGCTCCCGCCTGGGGGCCGGAGCTGAGAAATGGGGCTCCGGGGGCCGGGCCGGGTTTCCCGCTCAGCCGTGGGTCAGACGTGCTGCAGGGACGGGATGGGGCGGGATGGCGATCGCAGTGAGTGGCTAGAGAGCTCGCAGGGAAATGTGCGTCGGGGTGCAGCCGCTTAGAGAGGGGGTGTACGTTCCCTCTGAATCCGGAGCGGGACGGAAGGTCACACAGCCTCTGATCCATACACGAGGAGCCGGGGGTCTGCTGTCAGCCACCTCTGTTCCCTCTGTTGACTCAGATATTCCCTAAATATTGACTGCAGACCTACTGTGTGCCACGCACTGGGGTTGCGCAGGACACAACAGACAACAAGCGCAGGGGGGTTTGTTTCCTTTAAGAAAGGACTCAAGATTTCAAGGTTGATGACGGCTCCGCCACAGCCAGATTCTAGACTGAGTTGATGTTTGAGAGAGAGAAGGAGGCAGGAAAGAAAAGGGCTTCTGCGGAATGCGCGCTGAAGGTTCTGGATGCGCCTCCAGGAAGCGGCAGGCGGCCGTGCCGGCTGACGACAGTCTTTGCACATTTATTTTCCAGTTGTGCGATGTGCTGCTTTGAGGTGGGGCATGGCAGTCGCTCTGCCGTCTGCTCCTTGACTGTTTTCCTTGACGCGATTCGCACTGTCGAGGTTGGGTGCCCGCGCTGAATGCCCGCTTGCAGAATTGGAGAGAAGCATGCTGAGCGTGAAGACAAGAATGGTTAATACTCATATGTAAAACTTTAGACAATAATCGAAAAAGAATCGTTAATACTTATAATGTAATAAAGCAAAGACAGTTATGGGTCTGAAATTCATGGCCTCCAAAATGCACTCTCCACATAAAAAGACATTTTTCAAGAAAGTAGTCACACTGGACAGGAGTGCTGGAGACAGAGGTCCTAGAGAGGCCCCGGCAGGTGCCCGGGGCTGCTGGGGGGCCCCCCGGGCTCACTGGGAGTGCCTGCCGGTTCCCTTTGCTGGGCTGGGGGAAAAAAGAGGGTCTGAACTAGAAAATTGTGAAGGTCCCTTCCCTGGTGAGCGCTTTAGGAATCTCTGATGGTTCTTTCTCTAGTTTTGCCAGGTACTTGTCTTGAAATGGCAAGCGCACACTAGTAAGTTCCTAATGCTTGTTCATTTTTTGGAGACAGTGGGAGCCTCGTCTTTTGCCTCTTAACGTGGTACTAGGGGTAACCTGTTTCCAGCAGAGGTTTCTTTGCACGGAAGGATCTAGAGCAGCGGTTCTCAACCTGTGGGTCGCGACCCCTTTGGCGGTCGAACGACCCTTTCACAGGGGTCGCCTAAGACCATCCTGCCTAGCAGATATTTACATGACGATTCCTAACAGTAGCAACATGGCAGTGATGAGGTAGCAACGAAAATCATTTTATGGTGGGGTCACAACATGAGGAACTGTATTTAAAGGGCCAGAAGGTCTAGAGTCTGTGCTCATTCCTCCCAATTAGCATCCCCCCGCCACCTTTTCCAGATGTTGAGTTGTGAGCCGGTGCCCTTTCATTTGTAAGGTCTCTGTACCATTTACTGTATAAGGAAAGGAAGGACAGCTTAGAACTGCCTCCTTCATTGAAACAAGTTGAATTTGTCTGTTCGTGCTAGGAATGATGCGTGCCTCAGTCGTGCATATAAATCCATTGCGTTACTCAGCTGTCCTAGTCTCCTAAAGCGTTCACTTAGAGACACACTGACGCCTCCTCTTACGCTCTGAAGGTTCACTGATGAAATAGCCCTTTATTCCAGCGCCAATCACCACGTGCAGCTTTTTTGAGTTAAGACTGTAAGAAGGAAGATGGCACAGGGCATGTGCGGGCTGTCAGACTACAGCAAATCACCTGGTCCCTGGAGTTCCTTGTGCATCACAGGGGTTCTCAACCTTCTGGCCCTTGAAATACAGTTCCTCATGTGGTGACCCAACCATAAAATTATTTTCGTTGCTACTTCATAACTGTCATGTTGCTACTGTGATGAATCGTCATGTAAATATCTGCTAGGCAGGATGGTCTTAGGCGACCCCTGTGAAAGGGTCGTTCGACCACCAAAGGGGTCGCGACCCACAGGTTGAGAACCGCTGCTTTAGAATGAAAGCAGCAGCATTCGGCAGCTCAGTGCCACTCACATGTCAAGAGAATGTTCTCTATGACGTGTGACCCATTGCTTCTCATAGTAACGTAACCCTGTGCGGTTTAGTGTCTATTCCAACACTGCACTCTTCCGCTACTCCCACATGGGTTTAGGTCCGTGGTCGGCAAACTGCGGCTCGCGAGCCACAGGCGGCTCTTTGGCCCCTTGAGTGTGGCTCTTCCTAAGCCTTAGGAGGACCCTAATTATGTGAATTACAATGTACCTACCTATATAGTTTCAGTTTAAAAAATGTGGCTCTCAAAAGAAATTTCCATCGTTGTACTGTTGATATTTGGCTCTGTTGGCTAATGAGTTTGCCGACTACTGGGTTAGGTTATTTCAAAAGCTGGTTTTGCCTTTTAGCACAAATATTCCACTTATTTTGCCCAAAAGGATTTTGCTCCTGGGGTCTTGGAGGCTTTTTTTTTTTGTCTGCATCGTCCTGGGAAAGAATTCCCCTCCGTGTGTTGTTAGTACCTCTTTTTGCTCTGAAATATAATCTGGGAGGCAAGTATGTATGTTCTTCCTTCACTGCTTTTTGCATTTGTTCAAGATGAGACAGCATATAAGAAATCAATGGCCCTAGCCGCTTTGGCTCAGTGGATAGAGCGTCGGTCTGTGGACTGAAGGGTCCCGGGTTTGATTCCCGTCAAGGGCACATGCCGGGGATGCGGACTCCATTCCCAGTAGGGGGCGTGCAGGAGGCAGCCAATGATTCTCTCTCATCATGGATGTTTCTATCTCTCTCTCCCTCCCTTCCTCTCTGAAATCAATAAAAATAAGAATATATTACAAACATAAAAGAATTTAACTTAAAAAAAAAGAACTCAGTGGCTCACATTTTCTTCATTCATCAAACATTTGTTGGAGGCTTATGGTGTGACAGCTGTTTGGTCAGTTTTCCGGAGAGATGAGTACATCGTGAAAGCGTTCGGAGTTGCTGTGAACTCTTCCCTCGTCTTTGAAATGGTCATCATGGCCACAAAGAGAGAAACACAAACACTCCAGTAGATAAGAGCATCCTGTATTTATACAATCAGCTACACTCCGAAGTAGAGCATGGCTGTCCTGCTTTATCGTCACAAAAATGCGTGTGAGCGCCGATGTTCGCCTCCCAACCATTCCTCCCCGTTTTCCCACATTGAGTTTAGGGGGACCCCGTCCTTCCAGCTGGGTGTCGTCCTTGACAGCCTCTTGGGGACTTGATCATATTTACATTTGGAACAGATGGCTGTGGTTCCAGGAGGGAGGCACGGGTGAGAAGGAGCCAGAGCGCATCTTGGCATGTAGGCCAGGGAGAGAGAGGACTGGCTGCCTCCTGCACGCCCCCTACTGGGGATCGAGCCTGCATCTCCTGCATGTGCCCTTGACCATGTTGCCTGTACTAGGATGGCCGCTGGGCTGGAGGTGGAGAGCAGTCGGTGTATCTGAGAGATGCCGGGACAGCAAACTAGCCGGACTTCATTCATTTCGGTGGGCTAGAGGTGCTGGAGTGTGAGGGCCACAGCTGACATGCACGAATCAGTGATTTCCTGGAGGCACTTCTGGAGTAACTACAGATCATAGTATTTCATTTATGTTTATTGTCAAAGCGTTTGGACACAGTCCGTGTCCGTTTTAGCCTCACCACCAGCTGGTGGGTTAGAAATGTTTTCTTTTTTCTTTTTTTTTCTTTAAATATATTTGATTGATTTTTTACAGAGAGGAAGGGAGAGAGATAGAGAGTTAGAAACATCCATCAGCTGCCTCCTGCACACCCCCTACTGGGGATGTGCCTGCAACCAAGGTACATGCCCTTGACCGGAATCGAACCTGGAACCCTTCAGTCCGCAGGCCGACGCTCTATCCACTGAGCCAAACCGGTCAGGGCTAGAAACGTTTTCTATTTCATGGCTGAAGAAATCCAAGCCTAGAGCAGTAGAGTTCAAGGTGGCACAGGTGACAGAAGGGAGCGCTTTATTCCAGTGCCCTGACTCCCCAGTTGGACTCCTGAGATAAGTGAAATAGATGGGCCAACTTATCCTTCTCCCGCCCACTTTTGTCACCATAAGAATCCAACAATCAAATATTGTACCTTCAGTGACTTACTGTGACCCTCCTTGTTGCTGAATTGCGTGGCTAAATAGCTCTTTAATTGGATTGGTGTAGACCAGCGGTTCTCAACCTGTGGGTTGCGACCCCTTTGGCGGTCGAAGGACCCTTTCACAGGAGTCGCCTAAGACCATCCTGCAGATCAGATATTTACATGACGATTCCTAACAGTAGCAACATGACAGGAAGTAGCAACGAAAATAATTTTTTGCTTGCGTCACAACATGGGGAACTGTATTTAAAGGGCCAGAAGGTTGAGAACCACTGGTGTAGACAAAAGCCAAATTTTCCAAGATCCAGTAAGGTCTGTGCCCTGTGTTTCTGTCTTTCTCAGGTTTTCTCAGCCTCAGCAAAATGAACGTTTGGGGCAGGATGATTCTCAGTCGGGGAGCTGTCCGGTGCCATCGTAGGATGTTTAGCAGCATCCTTGGCCCCTAGAGACCCCCTGGAAGCCAGTAGCATAGTATCCCCACCTCCCCAGATGTGACAACCAGAAATGAACCCACACAGCCTGGCCGGTGTGGCTCAGTTGG